CACACACACACACACACACACACACACACACACACACACACACACACACACACACACACGCGCGCGCGCGCATACACACACATATATGCACACACGCGCGGTGGGGAGAGGGTTGGGGAGGTAGGGCTGTTGGGGGTAGTGGGGGATTGGTGGGCGTTTGGGGGGGTGGTCAGGACGGGATGGTTTAATCGCGCAGGGGTCATGCACCATGTGTCCGAACCCCCACGCATGCCTTGAGTTTGAGTTAACAGTGGGAGAACCCCGTTTTCGCGTTTAACGGGAATTCAAGGGGGGTTGGGGGATTTAATGAGTTTCAATGGCCGACATCAAGAAATTGGGGGGACCGCTTGCACAGGTTCATTAGGGCTACCGGTAGTACAGTGTGGAGAGCTGAAAGAACACAGGCCTCCGCGATTTATTTCATGGTTTAAGATTTTTTTATTTATTTTTTTAAATCTTTTTCCTTGAAAGATCATCAGCAAATCTACAGACCCTCCAATTTTCAGAGTCTTTGACACATCCTTTGAAGCTGGAAAAATCGCAGAAGTTGAGTCCTTTTCCCGTTGGCCTACAAACGGCACTGTGGCAAAACTGGAACATGCAAAAAATCGCTGCGGCAACTGTTTCACGGTCAAAATTATTTTTCCTTTTTTTCCTGATTTTTTTCCTGGAAAGATCACGACCTAATCTACCAATGCTCAAATTTTCAGAATTTCCTATGAATTCTTCCGGCCGCGAAAAATCGCCAATATTGCCGCTTTCAAATCCCGGGACTAGGCCCGCCGTTTCGGCCTCCGGTCGCCGCCCTCCCTCAACACCCGCCCGAACTCACAGGGAGGGCTATCTCGGGCTGGCAGAGGGAGTGGTGGTTTAAACTGGACCCCCCTCCTGTTGAAAAGACACGCAGGCCCCCAGAAATTCTTCTCTATATTCCCTTTGTTTCCCTCCTCTTCTGTTTCCCTTCTGTTTGACTGCTCTTCTCTTCGAATAAAGAAGAAGGGCCACAGCCTTGAGGTATCATCGGGCCCCAGGTAAATCAGCGCAGTTTGAATATTTTATCCATCTGATTTGCCCCAGGATTCAAACTTAGGTGTGCTTATCAACGGTTCAAGGGTGTGCACCATTCAACCACATGGGGTGGGCACAACAGCCCCCAGTCACCCAGTGTTCCATCACAGGACGACGATGACGACTACCGGTGGTCTTTTTCGCAGAAGAGTGTAACGTAAGGTGGCATTGGTTCCCCAATTCTACACAGGTATTGACAAATTGGATAAGTAATTTCATTTTTTTTTTCTCGATTTATGTGTGTCATGCTTGCGCAGGGGCCATGCTAATCTTCTGTGTATCGTTCCAATTTTAACGGACGTCCCGAAGGACACAAATTGGATAAATAAAGGGTCGCCCAAACCCTAGTTTTTTGTACACAAGTATGCACAAGTGGGGTAGAGGGTAGACCAAACCTGAGCACACGCAAGTCTATGCTAGCTGGGCCATAGATCAATTGACAATCTAGCCGACCAGGGTCTAGACCGTTATCCACAAATTGGATACATAAAGGGTCATCCAAACCCTAGTTTGTACGCAAGTATGCACAAGTGGGTAGAGAGTAGCCCAAACCGAACCACACGCAAGTCTACATCTCCATCTATATGCTGCTGCTAGCTGGGCCATAGATCAATCGACAATCTAGCCAACCAGGGTCTACACAGGTATCAAGTACTATCAACAAAATGGATAAATAAAGGGTCCCAAAGCCTAGTTTGTACACAAGTATGCACAAATGGGCAGATGGTTCCCATTATTTTAAAAAAAAAAAAGACCAAACCTAACCACATGAAAATCCAGATCTCCATCGATATGCTGCTGCTAGCTGAGCCATAGATCAATTGACAATCTAGCCAACCAGGGTCTACACATGTATGGACAAATTGGATAAATAAAGGGTCGCCCAAACCCTAATGTAGACAGGTATGCACAAGTGGGTAGACCGTAGACGGTAGACCAAACCTAACCACACGAAAATCCCTCTCGCCATCGATATGCTGCGGCTAGCTTCTCCGTAGATCAATTGCCAACCTACCCAACCAGAGTCACAAGAGTAACCAACCAATCAGGTTGCAATGACCCTGCAAGCACCCTCCTCATGGTTAGTGTACCACTTCTGCAGATGACCACACATGCCATAGTAGTGCATTAAACCCCACCAGAGCACATCCAAGCCCTCTTTTTGCCGAGGCGGATTCCACCTCCATGCCAAAAGCTTTGCTGAAACGCCAGCGCAGCTCTTTTTCTTTTCTGTTGGCTAGCACCGTCAGCCATTTTGGACCGGGAGTCCTGAGCCTCCGATATTTTGGATTGCTCGGTTTCTGTCCTCAGGTTTACCTGGGCGATGTCCTGGCGGTTTTACTCCGAAGAAAAGTTGGAGAGAGATCAGCGCTACGTCGGGAATTGCACGGACAACCAGTCGTAGACACGGACAACGAAGAGTGTGTCGTTCCATCCCATTAACATGACGAAAGGCCAGAACGCTCAATGGGCTGTTCACCTGACCGCCCCGGCCGGCCCCCAACCCCCCCCGCCGCCCCCCCAAGACCACCTCCCCTGCCGTTACTTTGTCCTCATTACGTGATCGGCCGGCCGGTCATCACCGTAAGTTGACGCTAACTGCCGGTAAGGGTAATCGCTGCCATCCAGTGACGCTAGCTTGAAAATAAAGTGGCTGCCAAATGCGAGGCTGCAGCGCCCGCTATACCCTATTACACTGTGCCCACCACAAACAGCTGTGGCAAGCCAACCGTAGTAGAGATTATCCCGCACCGGAGACGTGTGAACACTGTGAAGTATAACTCTACCACTGCACCTTATCGTCACTCATAGCAGGAACAGATCAGACGCGGTCGTTTGGGGAACTGACCGCTATGCAGTGGATCAGGTTTTTTTTTGTTGTTTTTTTGTTTTTTTTTGTTGCTGTTTTGAAGGGTTGTACGGAACTTGTACCCCTTATGAGACCCCCTTTCCACCCGTCCGCTCACCAATTCTCCAGACGCACCCCTACTCCCCCAGTCCTACCTCCATGTCTACCACTCAGATCAGGTCCTAGCTCGTGTACCAACTGGTTCATTCAGCTGCCACCTTATCCCTCTCTCTCACGACCTGCTTCATTATATTCATTGCAGGAATGGACCACATCTCTCTTTGCTTCCGATTGCTTAAACCGCCCCTAACCTTTCTCAGTGTTGGGAAAAGTGAGAATATAACCTAACCGACGGCACCCGCCATTTATAAATGTCATTGGCAGCCTCCGTTCCGTTTAGGCCCTCCAAAAAATGAGTGGGGGCTCTTGCCACGGCCGATGTACGTGAAAGCTGGTGGTTCTTTAACGACTGCTGGACATGCGGCGCTGCCTTCATTCCCCAACGCTACCTTCCCTCACCCATTGCTTACTTTCTCTCTCTCCATCAGCACACATTTCGCTGTCTCATGTCGTTGTGGTCCTCCACATCAGCACATAAAGGCAACACACAGCGACATGAGACGACTGCCATTGGCTGCAGAACAACCACAATGGACCACAAAAGAGAGCAGCAGCTTCTAAGGTCAACCTTCCATGAAGAGTACAGGAGTGCAAGCCAAAAGCATGCGAGTCTGTTTGTGTGACAGAAAGACGGTGGACGAGAGTGTCGGGGGACGGTCACAACCAGCAACGAAGAGGAGAGGAGTACAAGCCGGAAACGTGTGAATTGTGTAATGTGAAAAAAAGGGGGTTGACGAGAGCGTAACACGATCCCAACAAGCAACGAGGAGAACAGGAGTGGAAGCCAGAAGCGAGTTAAGTCTGTTGTGTGACGGAAAAGGGAGTGCACGAGAGTGTTAAAGAAGGGTCACAAGCGGCAACCGTGATTGGCAGCCACAACACCAGAGACATCCAAGATGGGCGCATGATGGAACAGAAAGATCTGTTGTGTCAGAACCAGTCCTGCCGGTTCCACTTATAAAGAAGTGTACTCCATAACAGCAGAACATGATCCTCTCCATGGGCTCAATCCGATGATGGATGTAGCATGGCCTTAACACATGCTATCAATGACAAGCCTGCCAGCCCATCGATGGGCAGCGGAGCATATCTGCAACATGAAAATAAATGCAAAGCTGACATGAGCATTCACAGGTCTGCACAGTGTTGCATTACCTTGACGACAGGCCTTCGGGGTCCTAACCAGCAACGGCTTTATACGGCCCGGGAGAAGAGGTGGGAAAGGTGGAAGAAAAAGGAGTGAATTAAGCTGGCTTCTCAGGCACATGCATACAAAAGGAGCGAATTAAGCTGGCTTCTCAGGCACATGCATACAAAAGGAGCGAATTAAGCTGGCTTCTCAGGCACATGCGTACGCATGTGCTAGCTCTGGATGGGCTCCTAACCAGCAATGGCTTTATACGGCCCGGGAGAAGAGGTGGGAAAGGTGGAAGAAAAAGGAGTGAATTAATCTGGCTTCTCAGGCACATGCGTACAAAAGGAGCGAATTAAGCTGGCTTCTCAGGCACATGCGTACGCATGTGCTAGCTCTGGATCTACGTTCCACGGATGGCCATCGCAGACCTGGCATCAGATGTAACAGACCTGGCCTTCCCCTTCTCTACACCTAAAGCAAGGCCACGGCCTCGAGCAGCCCCTCGCCAAATTGCAAAGTACTCGCCCTGTCAGCAATGGCCTGCGCGATCTCATCCCGTTTCTCCAATGCGTCGACTGACCCCTGTCCGCTGTATATATCACCCTCAAGATCCTCCTCTGCCGGGACTAACAACTGATCATCGAAGGGCTCATGATATTGAACACAGATGTTATGTAAAACACAGCAAGCTCCAATGACAGCAGGCATTTCCTGGACTTTCACCTCAGAACGCTTCGTGAGGAATCGCCATCGCCCCTTGAGTCTGCCAAAGGCCACCTTCGCAGTCATCAATGTGCCCATGAGTTTTTCATTGTACATCTGCTGCATGTGACTTAGCTTCTCCGGCCCGCTGTACGGCGTCAGCAACCACTCAGAAAGGGGGTAAGTATAACCGCCAACCATCCTCAGGTCGTGGAGGCCACCCTCCGCAGACGCCGTTTGGTACAGCGCGGAATTTTGCAAAACCTGAGAGTCCGAATACGACCCTGGCCAGCCGACACAGACATCAGTAAATGCACCTTTGCTGTCCACTACCCCTTGAAGGATGATTGTGTAACAAGGTTTCGTTTGCTGCTCGGTCTGACGTTTGTTCAAGTATTGGTTGGTGTGAAGCTTTGGCGCTATAATGGGTATGTGAGTGGTGTAGACAGCACCAATCACCTGCCCCAACCCGTGCATGGACTCAAACTCCACCGTGACTCGCGGAATCTGCTCAGGACTTGGCCACTGGATGTGCCGAGGCAGGAGAACACGATTGAGTGCATTGCACACGTCCAACATGATGATTGAACATGTGGAAATGCCTAATCCAAACCGCTTCGACACTGATCTCAATGGCTCCCCTGTTGCCAGACGCCAGAGACAAACCGCTACTCTCTGATTTACAGGGATTGCCGCACGCAGCATTGTGTCCTGTTTCGCTATGATAGGTGCGAGCTCGTCGCAGATATACTCGAATGGCCGTCTTCCCATCCTGAAGCAGTGACGGAACTCAAACTCCGTGAAAGACGGACGGCAACAACGGTCCCACCAAGCCTGCGAGCGAGCTCGCTGCCATAGCTTGCGCCGGATACACTCTGATTTAGCTATGGCTGCGACGAATGCTGCAGTTGCATAGCGAACACGTTTGCGATGGAGAAGCTCCGTTCTCTCCGCATCAGCTAGCTCCTCCATGTGTCTCCGGTACTCCTCGTAAAGAGACTCCTTCCGCCTCCTGTATTCGTCTTCAAACACCTCCCTCTCGTGGGCAATTTGCTCCTCCATCTCCTTTTGCTGTATCTGATGGTTCTCCTCGTCAAGGAGCAAAAGCATCAAGAGCCCAAGGATCGTTTTCTGCCGTTGATTTCCTGCCATCTTCCCCCTCTTTCCTCCTTTCCTCAGCCACTCCTGCCTACAACATGTACCTGGAGGAGGCCTCCCCTAAAGAGGGAAGAACAGAAGTGCAGTGACAACTCACCTTATCACAACAAGCACTACCAAACAGCTATGCAGTTGATGTACACTATAGATCATAACCCCACTCAGCCATAGGGATGCGCCATCATGATGCTACAAACCACTCTTACCACTTATCTCCTCTCTCTCTCTCTCTCTCTCTCTCTCTCTCTCTCTCTCTCTCTCTCTCTCTCTCTCTCTCTCTCTCTCTCTCCCGCCCCGATGGCAATGCCTGACTTCAAAAATAGACATGGAAAAAAAGAGGAAAAAAGACAAAGAAAGGAAGACTGGAAAGAAGGTGGAGAGGAGGAAGAAGAGGGGTTAACTCGTTAATTACTAAAAAAATAAAAATTGTTGCATGGCCAAAACTCATGCATCCAACCGTCCACATCACCTCTCAATCCCCACGGCTCTGTCACTTGTACCCATATAAATATACATTGTCTACTGAAGGAGAGGTGAGCTCTCTCTTTCGCACATGCGACACACGATCTCTCCCTCTCTCATGAAGTGCAGCATTGTAATAAGAAAAGGGAGAATTGTGTGTAGTGGTTTCTCACTCCTACAACAGCTTCCGCAGCAGAGCCAGCAGAACTAGAGGATTCACCTGCACTACACTTTCATTTCAACTTACGCACAAAACTGCATCTGCGATCAACGAACAAGTACCAGTATGGGGGGGGGAATTCCTGGAGTTTGAAGCCAGCAGTCTAAACCAGCTCCTGCGATTCACCAACTCCCTGGGAGAAACAACACAACGGCGGCATGTACACACATCAGCAAAGGTCGAAGAAGGTAAGCGCAAAGGGAAAAAAAAAAAAAAAAAAAGGAATTCACATCTAAATTCTGTGATTCATATGGTCGCATATGTTCAGTACCACAGGATTGTGAGCTACTTCTTATGCTGGACATCTTGCTGCATAAGCCAGCAGATCTCAATTTAATTATTTTAATTATTTTAATATTTATAGCTAACGAGTCGTATGGGTCAATACTCGTCAACTCATCAACAGAATACTCCTGAGTCAGTCAGATAGCCAAAAGAGGAAAAAATAGAAAGCAAGTCAAAACATCCCCAACAAGGAACACCAATAATGACATTTTCGAGGGGAAGGGTGGAGGGGAGGGGGGCATGGGGGCGGGGGAGCGCAGGGGGAAGAAAGCAAGACTGACATCCAGCTAGCTGCATGCGGCGCAATTTTGGGTGACCACAGATCTGCAAGCTCTCACCACAAGCACAAGGAATAGGTTTTCGGAGACCGAAAACCTACCTGAACCAGGAACGTGGTCGCCGGGTGTGAACAGGTGCATAGTCAGCCAGAGGGTGGGTTTGATTCATCCCTGTGTGTACAAGATTGACAGCCTTGAGTTGCACCAGACTGGTGGTACATGGCATACCGCATACCTAGTGCATGCTGTGTATGTGATAAGGTCCGATCCATCCCCTCTACAGGTCTTCCAACCCTAAACCCTAAACCTCAAAAGGCCCGGCCGGTGTCATCAAGGATGTTATGGACCCATGTCTCTCGCAGCCCCCTTCTAACTCATATCCCAAAAGGCCTGGCCGCCACGTCCGCCACGACCCGGTATGCGGTATGCCATGCACTACGTATGCGGTATGCCATACACCTTAATGACTCATGGATCTAACTCATGTCTCTCGCCTGTACGCTGTGGTTCATACACGGTCTTGTAAGCAGTGCAGCCCTAGAGCAAAATAGGAATACCTACCGTTTTTTTTTTCCTTTTTCTTTTTCTTTTTTTTCGAAAGGGCGACGGCCTTGAGATATCATCATTGAACGGACCAGCCCCACGTAGACTTCAGAACGATATTGTTCTGGTCATCTGATTGCCTCTGGACTCAAACTTGGGTCTGTATTTCAACAGTTCGTAGGTGTACCAACTGGGCTAGGCCCGTTGGTAAGCTGCCGGATGTTTTGAACCGGGTCTGTGCTTCTTTTTCCAGTCCCCCGGATAGACTGACCCTCAATGATGTTTGTTAGGATTGCCTAGACTACCAAGCAGGGCCTTGGCGTAGGTCCACATCTGAGGGATAGACCATAGACTGTGACCACCTACCAACCCTTGCCTACCTCCCTGCCTCTCGGTCTATCCAATCCATCGATCTTATCCGTCAATCTAATCTAATTTTAATTTATCTTATATCACCCTTAGTTACTATATCCCTAACAACCTTATCAATCAATGGGCCTCGTTCCACCAGTCACCAAATGTGCAAATGAGAATGAATCCTCTGCTAGAACATGGAAAGATACGCTGCCACAATTCTTGTCGTTTGTGCATGAGGTGAGTGGTGGAGCGAGGCCCCAAAGCTGGTGGCGTCAGCCAAAAGAAAAATGCCGCGCTGGCGTTTCTGCAAAGCGTGGCATGCAGTGGGAAGCTGCCTTGTACAAAAGAGGCCCGGACGTACTGGTGGACCTGGTGGTGGTTTAAAATGCAAGTGAGCCACACACACAACTGTATATATTTGATGAGTCGGTGAAACTCCGACGAAACAGTTTGTCACAGCCCCTCGTTTGTTGTCCTCTTCTCCCTCTCTGCCTACGGTTTACCGGGCAGTTCTATTTGACGATATATATGTGTTAATTTAATTATTTTATTTTATTTACAATTTTACAACTGTATTTTTTGGATCGTATGCTGGGCTCATACTCGCCCAGTGCCCCCAACACGGACAACCCCATGCTGGCAGCACAACTGCCCCCACACTTTTGTTTTGGGGACCTTTTTTTTTTTTTTTGGGGGGGGGGGGACCATTTCTCGATTTATGCGTGCCATCCTTGGGCAGGGCCCTCTCTGTACCGTTCCAATTTTGACGGATGTCCCAAAGGACTTTTGGCTGGGACAATTTCTCAATTTATGTGTGTCATCCTTGCGCATGCACCATGCTAATCTTCTCTGTATCTTTTTTTTTCAATCGTAATGAACGTCCTGAAGAAGTCTCCCAGCACTTTTTGTCTGAGCCTGGCCCACCGAATCAAAACCATGTGAGCCTATCGGTTGCAGCAGGTAGAAAAAAATACGTTTCGTTTTTATACTTTTTGCCCCCCAGCATGATTTTTGCCATGCACAAAATTCTGTTTCGTTGTAATACTTTTTTCGTGAGCAGCCCGCACTCGATCTCTGTCCCTGTTCAAAGATTTTGTCAAATATTCTGCACACACAAAAAATCGCTGAAGTGGGCGCACTCAACACTTTGCAAAAAAACCGTCAACGGCCTGCGCCCAACCCTACCACCTGCACCGAAGCTGTGCATTTTTTAGGTGCCGTGGACAGTGGTGGTTTAAACTTTAAACCACCAATTTGCCCCMCCCAAGCAAAACATGTGCGCCCCCCCCCCCCTACCCTTGCACAGAGAAGGCCCACTTTCGATGTGTCCACCTGCCTGTAGCCAGTATTCGATTTCTGCTCGATGGGGAGATTCACGGGATTCACACAAACTGGTGGTTTAGACCACCTGCACCCTGCCCAGCTATCCCCACCCGCGCACAAGTTAGCGTGATGACGCACTCAGGTTGGGCCTACAGAAAGGGGGGGCTCAGGTTGGGCCTACAGAAGGTGGGGCCTCAGATTGGGCCTACAGAAGGTGGGGCCTCAGGTTGGGCCTACAGAAGGTGGGGCCAACAGAAGGTGGGGCCAACAGAAGGTGGGGCCTCAGGTTGGGCCTACAGAACGTGGGACCTCAGGTTGGGCCTCATGTCCAGAATGTTTCGTAGAACTTCCACCAACTGGAGGTTCAGCCCCACGTCTGTGTGTGTCTGTTTTGAATCTTCACCACAACAGCGCCCCCATTCCACCCATGATGAGTAGATCCAAAATCGAAGCAGCTTTAGCCCTATATAGCAGATGACGAAAACACTTGAGTTGACGTAGGAAACAACAATCAACACTGTGTTATAAGATGTATCAATGGGACACTGGACCCGGTTTCCAGCAGATGCCGCTCCCCACCAACAGATGGAGCAGCCTGACAGATAAGCCCTCAATTCGAACGGTTCTCTTACCACGGCCGGAATCGAGGGCTTACGCAAGGGCTATTTTCCTATAATAATAAAAAAAAGAAAAGAAAAAGAAAACACTTGAGTTCAGACGATCCACCAACGAAACAGTTTTATTGAAATTTATTCCCTCTGTAGCAACAGTTCGAATCCCTTTCTTAACTGTGTTCAGGTTGGCCGTCTTTGGGGGGGTACCCCTTTCATTTGTTCTTGTAGCTCCCCTTTTACTGTGCCTCGCATGTACAAGACTCACCGCCTTGATTGTGGTCGAGCGTGAGCTGCCCACATCCCCATGTATATGTGTAAAATATAATGATCATTGTAACGTACCCCACCACCGAAGCTTCACACCAGAAGACCCTTTCCAGAACAGCTCATCGCAAGTCTTCACGCGGTAAAACATTCAGTCTGGGACTCAAACAGGCACATCCCATTGATCCCAACGTAAAAAAAAAGGGCCCACAACGCTGGAGGGCAAGCGGGAGGCCCATGGGCAAACAAACAACAGAAGGCCAGATTTGACAGGTAATTGAATTGGTTGGTTGGGCCCTGAAGGTCGTGTGTACGATCCACGCTCTTTTTTTTTTTTTTTTTTTTTTTTTAAAAAAAAAAAAAAGCAAAAAATTGGAAGGGCAAAGCTGAATAGAGAGGAAACTCAGACAAACAACAGTAAGACAAAGGGCAGCAGGCAGCAGCAACAAGGGAGACAGGCTGGTGTTTTTTTTTTTTGTTTTTTTTTAACAAACAACATAAGGCCATGAAGAACAAGGCAATGGGGAAAAAAAAAAAAAAAACACGGCAATGAGCCAAAAACTAACAAGGCAAGCAAAAGAAATGGCAAGAACCCAAGAAGCAGCCTTGGATGTTCAAAGAGCGGCAAAGAAGAACATAAGGCTGGAGGGGGAAGGGGAAGGGGAAGGGGAAGGCCGGGGTGGGCAGACGAACAACACTCCGGCAGTGTTGTCT